CTGGGATTACAGGCACGTGCCACCATGCCCAGCTAATGTTTTGTATTTTTAGTAGAGACGGGGTTTCACCATGTTGACCAGGATGGTCTCGATCTCTTGACCTCGTGATCCACCCGCTTCAGCCTCCCAAAGTGCTGGGATTACAGGCGTGAGCCACCGTGCCCAGCCAATGCCTGGCTATTTTTGTATTTTTAGTAGAGACAGTGTTTCACCACTTTGGCCAGGCTGGTCTTGAACTCCTGACCTCAGGTGATCCACCCACCTTGGCTTCCTAAAGTGCTGGGATTACAGGGGTGAGCCAACCAGAATGGGCCTGGCCAACCAGAATGTTTAATTAAGTAGCCTTCCCTATTTGCAAACCATTCTAGAATTTTCAGAGTTCTAAGAGCCTTCACTAGCAACAAATCCAACTTCTTTTCTAGATTAGGAAATTTGCCCTAAAGAAGTTAAAGTGAGCTTGCCCAGAGGTACACTGTTTAGTGTCAAAGTGCCGCTGACTCAAACTCATGAGTCTGGAGGCTGGTAGAGGCACCTGTGGGCTCAGGACCATAGAGCCCGGTGTGCCCTGCCCAAGGCCCACCTGGGAATGGAGTTATCTCTGTAAAGATTGTGCTGCCTTTGAGCAAGCACTGCAAACGGTGGCTTGAACAGTCTCATCACATGTTTCCACCCTTCCTATGAGGCGAGTACCATGGGTCTTCACCAACAGCATGGCCTGTTGTCCCCAGAAAAGGACAGCCCCTCACAGTGCTTTCTGTCTGCTTGTTTAGCTTTGCTGTTGGAATGTGCAGAATGGTGGACTTTCAAGTTAGTGTCCTTTAGTTGACTGCAGAGTTTCTGCTGGAAGTCTAGGGAGGCTGCCTGTGGGGTTGGCGTGCTGTGGGGAGTAGGGAAAATAAGCTGGTTTACTTTGTGTCTTTTTGTGCATGCAGACTGTTTGGATTTTGCCAACAGTTTCTGGGTGCTGCCTGCTTTTTAAACTTTTAAAAAATTGTAAACAGCTTCAGTGGCTTTGCAGAAGGAAGCTGTGGTTTCTCGTCTTCCTGTTCAGTCATGTTTTTTTCAGAGGGAGGGCTAACATCTGGCCATATTTTTCAACAAATTCAGAAGTGAATAGAGAACCCATAGTAGCTATCGGCAGAGGAGGAGGAATCAGAAATTCCTCAAACAGAATTTCACATGGAGTATTCCATGGAGAATGAGGTAGGTGCAAGTTCAGTGGGGAAAGCGCCGTTTAGAATGATTGTGTGAGTCCCTTGTGGGTGGCTTTCACGGCTGCTTCCCAGGGCTTGCCCATGGGGAGCTAGGGTGGCCCGGTCCCCATGACCCCTGCTTTAGGAGGATGGGGTAGGGTTCATTTGCTGGCTTCCTGGTCTGAGACCCTGTGGCAAGGGGCGTGTATGGAGGAGAAGTGCCATCCCATCCAGGTGGGATGTATAGGTTGTCGTATTCATTCGTCTTGATTCAAGGAAGAAGAAGCCACAAGTTTTATATCTTCCAGGGAGATGTAATTTTCCTATGGATTTGTGGTCAGTTTGGACCCAAGAGCTGAGTTGAAAAATTACGTAGGGAGATGGTCAAGCAAGAGAGAGCACCCAAAGGTGGAATTTTATCCATGAAGCCTGCAACAGTAGGGGAGTCCTGCTTGAAGACCCCACTAGATAGATCCTGGCCACCCCCAGTGTGGCCTCCTGTGGGCACTAAGGTGCCTGTGCCTTTTTCACTGAAACAAACAGGCAGTAGTGGGCAGAGCTCTGGTTCCCCTTGAAATTCGCTGTGTCCCGAGATGCAGGTTCACACCGGCTGTGTCGTACTTATCATTTGGGCCTCTCTAGCACCGAGGAAAGGTCCATTTTTCATTGGTAGGCACCAAAGCACTAAAAAAAAGCTAATCTGTTAGCTGGCACTGCAGGGAATGCTGGAAGTTTGCTGAAATTCAGATAGGCAGGGCTGCAGTGTGGGTGTCCGCAGAGGAGTTCTTTGTCATGGAGCTAGTAGGAGGGGATTTGTTGCAGTGCCTCCAATGTGCACCTGAAGCAGTGTGATTTATGAGGGGTGGCAGGTATCACTCTGGGACTGTAGCCTCTCTCACTGGACAGAATCGTCGCTACAGGTTCCACTGTCTTCTCAGACCCAGGCACTGAGTTTGGTGCCTCTTCCAGTCATTTTTCCTCATTCCTGCTGGGCTGTCATGTGGCTGTGCATTGCTGCTTGTCCATTTCCTTTATACAGGGGTTTTTTTGTGGGCAGGGACAGTGGCTCCTACAACCCTAGTGTCTGGCGCAGTTTTGTTTTATTAATTAGATAAAACCCATCTTGTAGTTTATTCATAAGGGTTAAATTATGTGCACAAGTGAAAATGCCTGAACACTAGCAGAGACGTGCTGGGTACTGCTCAGTGCGACTAAGGGTTTTTCCCTTTCTTCCTTCACAGACTTCTTAGCACTTTCTCCAGAGTAATCCCGAGCTGAGTGTTTTGCATGGAGAACTCAGCTGGAAGGTATAGCCATATTGTTTACCTTGGCCCCCAAGTAGAGGCCACAATCCCGTGAGTCTGCTTTAGCTGAGTCTTTTAATGGATTTATTTCTCCATGTAAATTAATAAAAAGGTACCCTGACTTATAAATTAGTTCTGAGAATTTGTTGAGTAAACTCATTTACTCCAGATCCTGTTCACCCAAGTGAGCTGATACTGTTGAGCTTCAGATCTAACAAAACTCAAGACCCGCAGTTGGCACCCAAGAGCAAGCCTTTCCCAGAGCCTAAGCCTTGGCTTTGTGTGAGGGGGGCATTCTCACTAGGTAAGCCCTAGTAGGCCAGTTTTAGTTTTAGTTTTTTAACTCAGAAGTACATTTTAGGTTTCCAACTTTGAGAGTTGTTTTAAGCTTAAGATGTAAAATATTGCAAGAATTTGTAAGGATCTAGGGATCTTCCAGAGTGAGTTTAGAAAGTTCTCTGAGGCAGCACTCTGAGGCAGCATATATTCCATATGGATGTCTTTGCACAGTGCTGCATGGTGACTCAGAGCCCTGTGTTCCCTCCTCTTGGCTCCGTGCTGCTCTGGCAGGTTCCTTCAACCCTTACAGCCTCAGTTTCTTCAGGAGAGACTTAGGCTGGGATAGACCCCACACCTCACCTTGGTACTCCACTCATGGAAGAGAAATAACATTTAGCCTGGTTTCCTTCTGGTGACTGAATTGGTCCTTTGGTCTCTGTGGTTGAAATGTGATAAGATCATTTGGTGGTGGTGAACAGGCGTACTCAGTAAAATACATGTTGAATGAAAAACGATTGGTAGCCTAGGCTAGTCCCACCTTTTAAACTCTGTGTATCCATCTATAGTACATTCTAGTGAGTTAAAGAACCCATGGTGTCTCATTTATTCATGACCTAAGAGTAGAGGGAAAAAAAAAAAAAACCCATGATGGTTTACTGGGATCCTGATTCTGTACATTAACAATATTCCAAACTATTTAATTGTTTCCCTCCTTCCTTCCAGACAGGGTTTCACTCTGTTGCCTAGGCTGAGTGCAGTGGTGTGATCACAACTCACTACAGTCTCAATCTCCCAAGCTCAAGTGATCCTCCCACCTCAGCCTCCTGAGCAGCTGGGACTACAGGCTAAGTTTTAATTTTTTTTAGAGACAGGTCTTGCTGTGTTGTCTAGGCTGATCTTGAACTCCTGGCCTCAAGCGATACTCTTGCCTCAGCCTCCCAAAGTGCTGGAATTACAGGTGTGAACCACTGTGCCTGCCCTCAATATATTTTATTTTGTTTTTTCTTGAGATGGGGTCTCGGTCTATCGCCCAGGCTGGAGTGCAATGTCGTAATCTTGGCTTACTGCAACTGCCACCTCCCAGGTTCTCTCCTGCTTCAGCCTTCCGAGTAGCTGCGACTACAGGTGTGCACCACCACACCCAGCTAATTTTTGTATTTTTAGTAGAGATGGGGTTTTGCCATGTTGGCCAAGCTGGCCTTGAACTCCTGACCTCAGGGGATCCGCCCACCTCAGCTTCCCAAAGTGCTGGGATTACAGGCATGAGTCACTGTGCCCGCCCTCAATTTCTTTTTTAACCAGAACTTCCCTTTAAATTTACTTTCTTTTTTTAGATTTAAGAGAGACAGGGTCTTGCCCGGGCATGGTGGCTCACACCTGTAATCCCAGCACTTTGGGAGGCCGAGGTGGGTAGATAACTTGAGGTCAGGAGTTCGAGACCAGCCTGGCCAACATGACGAAACCCCATCTCTACTAAAAATACAAAAATTAGCCAGGTGTGGTGGTGCGTACCTGTAATTCCAGCTACTCCAGGAGGCTGAGGCAGGAGAACTGCTTGAGCCTGGGAGGTGAAGGTTGCAGTGAGCCAAGTTTGTGCCAGTGCACTCCAGCCTGGGTAGTACAGTGAGACTCCATGTCAAAAAAAAAAATTAAAAAAGGGCCTTACTCAGTCACTTAGGCTGGAGTGCAGTGGGCAATCATAGCCCACTGCAACCTTGAGCTCCTGGGTTCAAGTGATTCTCTCACCCCAGTCTTCCAGGTAGCTGGGACTACAGACATATGCCACCACGCTCAGCTTAATTTTTTCTTTTTAATTAATTATTGCATGTTTTGAGATGGTCTTGCTCTGTCACCCAGGCTGGAGCACACTGGTGTGATCACAGCTCACTGCAGCCTTGACCTCCCAGTCTCAAGTGATCCTCCCGCTTCAGCCTCCCAAGTAGCTGCAACTGCAGGTGTGTGTCACCATATCTGGCTAATTTTTGTATTCTAATTTTTGTATTTTTTTAAAGATGAGGTCTCACCCTGTTGCCCAGGGTGGTCTCGAGCTCTGGACTCAAGCATTCCTTCCATCTTTCCCTCCCAAAGTGTTGGGATTACAGATGTGAGCTCCTGCGCCCAGCATGTTGGGTTCAAAAGCAACTTCTTTTCCAAAAATCTGACGTGGCTTCTTGTTCAATTTTGTATCTGGAATAGCGGAGAGCTCTCCTCCGCCCCCCCAGCACCGGCTGTCCCTCCTACCACCCACTGCAGCTGAGAGCTGAGCAACCACCACCTCCTAAAAGTCCTGTTATCCTCAGTGGGAGCAGCAGCCACCCTGCATTCTGCACTGAATGGGAAGGACTTACAGAGGAAAGCTGCAGAAAATGTGCAGTGATGTATTTCTCTACTTAATAGTGTTAATATTCCACTTTCTAGGAAGATGTACCCATCAATTAAAATTATTTGGGACATTAAAAAAAGAAACTGTGGTAGCTGCTATTCAAGGCTAAGGACCAGGGCCAGAGAGACACCTGCCTCCAAGCAATCCACAGAGTCTGCTTGTTAAAGTGTCATGATTCGGAGGCCCACATGGAAGGACACGTTCCTCTGAAGCGCCTTGGCATGCCCTGTCTTTGGTGTTCTGGCGTTGCCCTCTTCTGCTTCTCTGTGAGCAGTCAGAAAGCTCTATCTCCTGTTCATTACCTCTCCTTGTCTTGCTGCTCAGAACAGCAGCTTTAAGAACAGGGTGGCTGAGCCCTAACTGTACCTTTGGAGCATCCTGTGTGTCTTCAGCATTGGTTGATTGTTTTTACTGTGGATTTAAATTCAGTTACTCTACTCCGGTCTTACTACTTCTGCTTGTCTGTGACTTCATTGAGGGCAGGGGCTGTGTCTCTTCTAACCATAGGGCCTCCCCAAATGCCTAGCCTGGTCCAAGCATTCCATCAAGAATCAGTACCATCATTTATTGCTGTCCAGTCTGTGCAGACTCCATGCTGGGTGCCGGGTAAGAGCCAAGGGCAGCTGGGCGCAGTGGCTGACGCCTGTAATCCCAGCACTTTGGGAGGCTAAGGTGAGTGGATCACCTGAGGTCGGGAGTTCCAGGCTAGCTTGGCCAACATGGTGAAACCCCGCCTCTACTAAAACTACAAAAATGGTTTAGGGACAGCCATTTTCCTCTGGCTGATGTGAGATTATTCATGTCTGTGGTGTGGTGGTGAGTGCCTATAATCCCAGCTACTCAGGAGGCTGAGGCAGGAGAATTCACTCGAATCTGGGAAGCACAGGTTGCAATGAACCAAGATCACACCATTGTACTCCAGCCTGGGTGGCAAGAGCAAAATTTCATCTCAAAAAAAAAAGGGAGCCAAGGCCAGAGGAGGACAGAGCTGGGCTCAATTTAGGAAAGAACTGATGCTTGGGCAATAAGAGGCATCTACAGAGGATCGTCCTGGTTTCCTTGCCCTGCAAGATTTTCTCCTGTGTCTCACTGCCTAACTGCAGAGAGTCTCTCTTTAGGGATGGGATTATAGGACAGGGGCCCCCAGGGTCCTTCCCAGTGCATACTGTAATTCTGTGTGGGGACTATAATTTTATGACCTTTACATCAACATTAAAAAGCAGTGTAGGAAGGTTGCATGTGGTTTGTGGGACCTGTGGATTTGGTGTGGGCTTCTTGGTTAGAGTTTGATCTTGGCAAATCTCTTGTCTCAGAGTTGGTTTCCTGTTGCTCCCATAGGTAGATTACTAACTAGTTTGACTAACAGGCAGCTTTGGGAAGAGCCAACAGATGGAGCCAGGCTGCTCGCCCACACTGTTGGATTCAGAGCTCATCACTGTCCATGATACAGCTAGTTATCGTTTAGGAGGAGTGAGCTTTCGGGCCTAGCAGGCAGAAATGGTTTAGGGACAGCCATTTTCCTGTGGCTGATGTGAGATTATTCTTGTCTGTGGAGATAGAAGTTTCCTACAAGCTGGGCTCATGGGTTATATGCCTCTGTATTTCTGTAACCTTCAGGCCAGGGTCTTTCACATCATTGGGCCTGGGAGAATAAGTGAGTGGTCAAGCATACACACACAAAAAGTAATTCGTGTGCCATCTGGTCACCCAGAGGTGCCAGCAGAGAGGAAATCACAGGCAAGCAAAGCCTGATGTGTTTTCAGTGAGGCTACAGAAACATGATTTTTTGCATGGCTAAAATTACATCACTAAATTTTGAGGGCCATTTCCAACTCACAGTTTACCATGATTTCTTGGCTGACAAATCATAGGTGACCATTTCCTGCCATTCTCCCATGAGAACCCCACATTGCAAACTACCTGACATGTCTAATCTTGTCCTGGGGCTCAAGGCTTGTCAGGGATTAAGGAGAATGAAGCCTGAAAGTGCTCCAGGGACATCCTGTCTTCACTGCTCTTGTAGAGCCGGTCCTGGGCAGCACAAAGCCATGTGCTTTCTGAGCCTAGGCCAGTCCTAGCGAGCTCTTCTGGAAGCACTTTTCATTTTTTTTTGGAGACGGAGTTTTGCTCTTGTTGCCCAGGTTGGAGTGCAATGGCGAGATCTCAGCTTACTGCAACGTCCGCCTCCTGGGTTCAAGAGATTCTCCTGCCTCAGCCTCCTCAGTAGCTGGGATTACAGGCGCCTGTCACCACCCCCAGCTCATTTTTTGTATTAGACTGGGTTTTACCATGTTGGCCAGGCCGGTCTTGAACTCCTGACCTCAAGTGATCCACCCGCCTCAGCCTCCCAAAATGATGAGATTACAGGCATGAGCCAGTGTGCCCAGCTTCTGGAAGCACTTTTAAAAATTTTTCTATTTTTCAAGGCTGGGCACGGTGGCTCAGGCCTGTAATCTTAGCACTTTGGGAGGCTGAGGCGGGTGGATCACGAGGTCAAGAGATCGAGACCATCCTGGTCAACATGGTGAAACCCTGTCTCTACTAAAAATACAAAAAATCAGCTGGGCATGGTGGCACGTGCCTGTAATCCCAGCTACTCAGGAGGCTGAGGCAGGAGAATTGCCTGAACCCAGGAGGCGGAGGTTGCGGTGAGCCGAGATCGCGCCATTGCACTCCAACCTGGGTAACGAGAGCGAAACTCCGTCTCAAAAAAAAAAAATTTTTTTTCTATTTTTCTTGAGACAAGGTCTCACTCTGTTGCCCAGGCTGGAGTGCAATGACATGATCACAGCTCACTGCAGCCTTGACCTACCGAGCTCAAGCAACTTCCTGCCTCAGCTTCCCAAGTAGCTGGTACTATAGTGTGAGCCACCACGCTTGGCTAATTTTTGTAGTTTTTGTAGAGATGGGGGTCCCACAGGCTGGTCTCGAACCCTTGAGCTCAAGCAATCCACCCATCTCGGCCTCCCAGAAGTGCTGGGATTATAGGCGTGAGCCACCTCACCCAGCCTGGGAGCACTTTCTGTCCCCTCTGTGGTTCGTCTTGTAAGCTTATTGGTGATCTTAGTTTTTCATGCTTTTATATTTTGCCTCAGTTTAAGTATAATCAGCCAGAGGCAGAAAATATATTCATCCTTCTCAAAAAATATTTAAAAATTCAAATATTAAAATATACAGAGAAAAGTAAATGAAGCCACTGTATACATCATCTCTCTCCAACTGTTACCAACCCAGAGGACCTTTAGTCACCCTTACTCCACACTCTCGCCCCAGCCCCAGATGTGCTGAACAGCAGAGAGTGGGACCTGGGAGGGGGCCTATTCCAGGCCAAACGGGAGAGACTACTCCTGGTCATCGGAGGACTACTCTGGGTCTATGAGAGGACTAGTCCAGGTAGATGGGGGACTCTTCCAGGTCAATGGGGAACCACTCCAGGTCAAGGGAAGACTATTCCAGGTCCGGGGGCACTGTTACAGGTGAAGAAGGTGGATGCTGGGGTGGATTCAGTCAGCCCAAGTGAGAGGAAGCATTTTAGCAGATTACAAGGCTGTAAGCCTGGGTCACAGGTGTTTTACCTGTTGGGGGCATGAATGAAGAGCTTAGGCTGGGATGCCGCTCCAACTTTATTATCTTGTCTGTGGTCATGATGTGTAGGAGACAGTCTGATTATATGTATATATAAAGAGAGCAATGGTAGAAGAGATGAATTTTAACTTACTGTCAAGGTAAATGTAGTCATAAAGTTAACTGTTGGTGTATATTTTGCTTGTTCACAGCATATCAGATATGCGCTCAGAGCTTTATGTAGATTATCATATTGATTACCTGTGGCACTTCTCTAAGGATCATTAGCCTGTTTTGCAGACAGTGAGCACTCAGCTAACCAATTTGCTTATTAAGTGCTGCCCAGAGCATGCTGGAGCAGAGGTCGTGCCTAGGACCTAAGGAACATCTGTATTTACTGGCAGAAGAAAGAGAGCTGGCAAAGGGTGCATGAGATGCAGGAAACCCAGGGGACAGTGTCAGAGGCATGGTGGCAGCATTAGTGCATCAGTGTCTCGTTTTCACAGGTTTATGTTCCTTTGGGTGACTGTAGATGGGGATTGTAGCATGATCTCTGAGCACAGTTTGGGATTGCTTCTCCACACACACCCCCACCTCCCAATTGTCAAAGGTGGTGATGAATTGCTTCTTACAGAGTTATTTTGAAGGAAGTGTCAGCTTCATTAGTGGGACAGCTGCAGGGACTGCTGGGAGCCACTGGATGACTGATTTCTGCCTTTGTCAGGAGTGGTTACTAATAGTGTAGTCCTTGGCAGCGATTGTCCATTTGTGAAATAGTTGGGTTTGACCCACAGGTTCTCCTTCACCATTTTATATTGGATTTGGCATATGGTTGAATTTCCCATATGCTGGAGAGAGACAGAAATGAGAGCTTTTAATGAAAGTTTGGAGATTTATTGTATATATGTTTTGTTTGTTGCTGAGTTTGGTGATAAGGGAGGATCTGAGCTGGGCCTGCTGTGGGGGTTTTGGCAGCCATCTGTGTACTGCGTCACCCCATCCTGGCAGTACCTGCAGAAGGAGTGTTGTCATTTCCTCCTTTGTTTCTTCTGTTGAAAGTCATGGAGAAGATGGTGGGGAATAAGTTGTCACTCTTACACAGGTCACAGCTCTGATTTTTTCAGGCTTGTGCGATGTTTCCTTGCTGTGGCTGCACATCTGTGTCTCATTTTCTCGGGTTTATGTTCCTTTGGGTGACTGTAGATGGGGATTATAGCATGATCTCTCAGCACAATTTGGAATTGCTTCTTTCTGCCGCCCACCTCCCCTGCCCCATTGTCAAAAGTGGTGATGAATTTCTTTCTTACAGAGTTATTTTGGGGGAAGTGTCAGGTCTTTTCCTGGGTTCTGCAGGTGAGGCTTGCTGTAATCCTCTCTCTTGCTCTCTCATTCATTCTCACTCTTCAAATTGACATTGATTGTAGGATTAGCCTTCAGAATCCTCATGAGATGCTGGATAGGTTGTGAGGTCATCAAAGTTAGGAGAGGGCCAGCTGCTGATCAGGGCTTCTCCCCACCATTTTTTTTTTTTTTTTTTTTTTTTTTTGAGACTGAGTCTTACTCTGTTGCCCAGGCTGGAGTGCAGTGACATCTCGACTCACTGCAACCTCCGCCTCCAGGGTTCAAGCAATTCTCCTGCCTCGGCCTCCCGAGTAGCTGGGATTACAGACATGTGCCACCACATCTGCTAATTTTTGTATTTTTAGTAGAGATGGGATTTTACCATGTTTGCCAGGCTGGTCTCGAACTCCTGACCTCAAGTAATGTACCAGCCTCCCAAAATGCTGGGATTACAGGCATGGGCCACCACACCCGACCTGGTTTCTCTCTTGTTGATCTGCATTGGAGCTTGACATGCTCAGTGTCCCCTCTTGGAGTCACAAGGTCCACGTTGAGGAAGGAATTGCATAAAAAGCACGTGCCCCTTTAAGCCATTAAGAAATGTGCTTTTGTAGAATGTGCTCAACTTTGGCTGTTGAGATCTTAACTTGTTGATGCCAGCACTGGCCACATCTTCCATCTGTCTCCTGGAGTTCTCAGAAACAAAGTGTCCCAGCTGAACTGGAAAGAATGATGTTATGTTTTGTCTTCTGTGGGGAATCTCCGCCTTTCTGTCATTGTCTTGCCAGATAACGTTACCTGCCCTTCAGTGTGTTGTAGGAACAGATGAAGAATAAGGTCCTTCCATGCCAGAGGCTGCATGGCAGCCCAGCCCCACCCTGCTGGCCTGTGTGTTGGCTGTGGCCCCTCAGGCTTGTGTGCTGTTGGTACCTTTCTCACCAGTCTTGCAGTCAGTGGTCTCTGTTACATGGGAATGGTGGTAGTGATTTTGGCTGCTTCTGTTTGTTAACCTTAGGTACAACACAAAGCGTTTGTAAATAATGAACTCCAATCATTGCCATTTCTGCCTGCAGCCTGGAATTGTGTCGCCATTTAAACGAGTATTCCTAAAAGGTGAAAAGAGTAGAGATAAGAAAGCCCATGAGAAGGTGACAGAGAGGCGCCCTCTGCACACTGTGGTGTTGTCATTGCCTGAGCGCGTCGAGCCAGACAGACTGCTGAGCGACTATATTGAGAAGGAGGTAAAGGTAAGTCGTCACGGGCCACAGGATGTGCCTGCCAAATGACAGTGACGGTCGTGCCTGTATCCACCAGACACTCTTGAGTTTATAAGACACAGCCACACAAATACCTTAGTTGATTACCCCACCCATTGTCTTGTCTATGGTGATAAATTTAACAATTGGATAACCAAAAACTCAGATTCCTGTCTGCTGTCCCCAGTTTGTTTTTTTTCTTCTTTTTATTTTTATTTTTTGAGATGGAGTTTCACTCTTGTTGCTCAGGCTGGAGTACAGTGGCATGATCTTGGCTCACTGCACCCTCTGCCTCCTGGGTTCAAGCAGTTCTCCTGCCTAAACCTCCAGAGTAGCTGGGATTACAGGCATGCATCATAACGCCTGGCTAATTTTCTGTTTTTAGTAGAGACAGAGTTTCTCCATGTTGATCAGGCTGGCCTCGAACTCCAGACCTTAGGTGATTTGTCCACCTTGGCCTCCCAAAGTGCTGGGATTACAGGCATGAGCTGCCGTGCCCAGCCTGTTTTTTTCTTTAGTAGCAATGCCACCTTCTTTCTCCTGAAGGCTTGGCTGTGTGAGTAGTGTGTGCTGCTCCACCAGAAGAGGGTTAAAGAGCTGGGAGAAAACTCACATGTCCTGCAATTTGCAGTTGAAAAGAGTTACCTGGTCAATACCATGATTCTGCTCGTCTGTCACTGCCTAGAATTCAGACCATGTGTTTGAGGCTCATCATTGAGCCTCAAGGGCCTGAGCCCAAAGTACTGTACATAAACCATGTGATGTGCATAAGTTGATTTTTAATCCCTCACCTAAAATGAAAGTAAATGAATAAAAAGGTATAAAGCTGCCGGGCGCGGTGGCTCACGCTTGTAATCCCAGCACTTTGGGAGGCTGAGGTGGGCAAATCACCTGAGGTCGGGAGTTCAAGACCAGCCTGACCAACATGAAGAAGCCCTGTCTCTACTGAAAATACAAAATTAGCCAGGTGTGGTGGCACATGCCTGTAATCCCAGCTACTGAGGAGGCTGAGACAAGAGAATCACTTGAACCCAGGAGGCAGAGGTTGCAGTGAGCCAAGATCACACCATTGCACTCCAGCATGGGCAAGAAGAGTAAAACTCCATCTCAGAAGAAAAAAAAAAAAGGAAAGGAGACAGCAGTGGATGAGTTGTCCATAAACATGGAAGAAGGAAACCACTGAGGGTGAGATAACTGAGTTAGAGCTAACACAGCCAGACCAGAGTTCCTGCAGAGGACACCGAGTCCAGGGGGTCATGCGCATGGGGCAGTTCGAATGTCCATGGGAGGGATGTCCACTCTGACCTGGCCCAGCCAGATGATTAGCTCACCCCCACCCCACTGGGAGATGGGGCTTTGAACGTGCAAAAACCAATACAGGGGCAGATGGGGAGAGACCAAGACAGAAGATAAGAAAGTCAAATCAAAGCCTGTATGTGGAATGGAGAGAATTCTCAACTCCTTTTTCAGTCACGCTTCTAGAATGCCTGAAGCCAGGCCTTTCCCACAATGGAATTCTTGGAAGGGTGCTCACTGGGGAAGTTGAGCAGTCCATACTGGCCCTAGGGATTACCACCCAACCAGCCTGAATAAACTCCAACAGTCAGGACTCCTGTCAAGCATCCAGCATCTGTCAGCTTTTCAGAGCCTCATTTCAAATATAGGCGGCTAAGTACACATTTGAGAAAAACTTTCAACTAAAGGCAGAGCCCAAGACAAAAACACAAAATGGACATGAATGAAACAGCAGCAATGCAAAAAACGGGAAGAAATTTAAAAGTATATACTATTTTTCAGAAAGATAAGAGGAAATACTATTGTCAGTGACAACAGGATTCTACTTTTAAATAAAAGGTGAGAAGAAGAGCTTCTGGAATTCAAACTATGTTAATTATATATCTTTTAAAAAAACGGTCAGGGCACGGTGGCTCAATAAGCCCAGCACTTTGGGAGGCCGAGGTGGGCGGATCACGAGGTCAGGCGATTGAGACCATCCTGGCCAACATGGCGAAACCCTGTCTCTACTAAAAATACAAAAACTAGCCGGGTGTGACAGCGTGCACCTGTAGTCCCAGCTGCTCAGGAGGCTGAGGCAGAGAATTGCTTGAACCTGGGAGGTGGAGGTTGCAGTGAGCCGAGATGGCGGCACTGCAGTCCAGCCTGGGCAACAGAGCAAGACTCCATCTCAAAAAAAAAAAAAAAAAAATTAATAGAGGTATTGAAAGATAAAAGTAAAAAAAAAAGTCCCAGAAAGAATATTCAAAAGATAATAAACAAAAGAGGAGAAAGAGAAATTAAAGGAAATTAGATGATCAATCCAGGAAATTCAATATCTGACTCCCAAGAAAAAAGAATGAAAGGAAGAGTGAGAAGAATTTATTAAGACAGTAAAATAAGAACATTTTGCAGAGTTGACTGATGAACATGACCTCCCCCATTGAAAGGATCCTGTCATGTTGACTAGATAGATCTCTAAAACTTCAACTCACAGAAGCCTATTCTTAGAAGTTGCTGGAGGATCTGCTGCCTCAAAACACAAGGGGAGGCTGGGCACGGTGGCTCATGCGTGTAATCCCAGCACTTTGGGAGGCCGAGGTAGGCAGATCAGATGAGGGCAGGAGTTTGAGACCAACTTGGCCAACATGGCAAAACCCCTTCTCTATTAAGAATGCCAAAAAAGTTAGCCAGGCGTGGTGGCACATGCCTGTAATCCCATTTATTTGGGAGGCTGAGGCACGAGAATCACTTGAACCTGGGAGGTAGAGGTTGCAGTGAGCCGAGATTGCACCACTGCACTCCAGCCTGGACGACAAGAGTTAGACACTGTTCCCAAAAACAAAACAAAACAAAACACAAGGGCAAGCCAAGAATAGGAAAACACCGGTCTGGAGCCCAAGGAGTCTGGCAGAGAAAAGAACAAAGATAATTTCCAGGATGACAGGAAAGCAAAGTCCCAGGAAGATAATCTAAGAAACAGGCTACAGAAGCTCTGGGATAAGTATGTATAGACTATATGTTTGGGTGGAAGACTGTATTGAGAAGTTGCTGAAGAAATAGAATAGTACATAGAAAACAAAGCAAATGGAGGTGTGGGCGAATTAACAATAAATCATTTGAAATGAAAACTTAAGAGTTGGAGACTTCTGTTCCTGGGAAGTTGGAGTCGACATTCTTTTCCCTATTACTTCTAGTTAAGGGCACCTGAAATCTAAAATCCTTGGACACTATATGCAATAACATAAGAACACTCTGAAAGGTAGAGAGAAGGCAGGCCACCCAGGACCCAGAAAACAACCCAGTAGTGATTTCTTCAGGTTGTCTTTTTGCCTCATGTAGTCCAGACTATGAGCTGAAGAAGCTGGCAACCCAGAAACACCAACAGGTACAGGCAGAACCCTCCAAAAAGCCTGCTCCTTCTGACCAAAGGACCAGGAAAGGGGCAGCCTAGTAGAAGACAGAAAATGTTTAGACAATTGCTCAGTGCCATCCAAACATGACAGAGCTGTGGTCCCACCTCTGTTCTTGCTACCAAGGGCTGAGTGAGGGCCACTTACTCCTCCAGAGAAAGTTGAGTAGGGACCATGGACTTATCCCTGCTGGGCAGTAACCCCTAAGAAACCTTGTGTGGTTCTGGAGTGTTAGTGGAGACCACAGTGGGTGGGCAGTAATGAGGCCCTCCTCTTCCCAAGCAGGGAAGAATCAGTGGAAGCCACATGGGGAAGCAGAACTCTCATCATACCCAGCAGTAAAAAGGAAGGAGCCCTTCATGCAGGAGGCCAAGTAGGGAATCTGACCTTCACCCCTGCTTGGTGGTAAAATGGTGGTGTTCGTCTCCCTTCTGAAGAACTAGGTTAAATTTTCCAACATTTTTGTTGCTGAGGTACTGAAGAGAGAGGAGAAAGAGAGAAGGGCTGAAAAGCTTTTCAAAGATCTTTTGGGTTGAAACATTTGGCAAAGGACAAACTTAAAAGATTCAGAAAGCTGACCAAACGCCAAACGAGAAATAAATCCACTGCTAAGACCTGTCATAGTGGAATTTTGGAAAGTAAAGACAACAACAGCAAAAAATTTTAAAAGTGGCAAGAAAGAAACACTTTATTCATAGGGGGAAAACAGAATGACAGCAGATTTCTTGTTACAAATAATGAGGACCAGTGGCACAACATTCAAGTGCGGAAAGACTCTGAGAATCAAAAGGGTAATAAGAGAATACCAGCAACTCCACACACATAAACAGTGGGCCAAAAAATAGACCAGATTCTTGAAAAACACGAACTTCCATAGGCATCCAATATGAAATAGATCATTTGAATAACCCTATAATTATTAAAGGAAATTCAGTATCTAATTTGAAAACTCCCATTAAAAAACTCTTCAGGCCCAAATGGTTTCACTGGAGAATTCTATCAAACATTTAAAAATTTTAACCTCAATTCTACATATTCTTCCAGAAAAACGGAAAGACAGAAGGGGAAGAAACACTTTTCTTCTCTTTTCTTTTTTCTTCCCTCCCTCCCTTCCTCCCTCCCTTTCTTTCTTCCTTCTTTCTTTCGAGATAGGGTCTTACTCGGTTGCCCAGGTTAGAGTGCAGTGGCGCGATCTTGGCCTGCTGAGCCTTGATCTTCCAAGTTCGAGCAGCCTTCTTACCTGAGCCTCCTGAGTAGTTGGGACTACACATGCCTGCCACCATGCCCAGATAATTTTATATTTTGTAGAGACAAGGTCTCACTATGTTGACCAGTCTGTCTTGAACTCCTAGTCTCAAGCATACCTCCTGCCTCAGCCTCCCAAAGTCCTGGGATTCTAGTCGTGAACCACTGTGCTTGGGTGGGAATATTTTCTGACTCATTTCGCAAGGGCAGTATTGCCCTAATATCAAAACCAGACAAAAAACAGTGCAAAATAAAAAGAAATCACAGACACCAATACAAACATAAAATTCCTCAGAAAAATATTAGGTAACATATTCAGCAATATATAAAAAGAATTAT